AGCTATAGCTTTACAAAATGTATTTCTTAAGTAATAAAACTTGAAAGTCAAAATTATTCTTTGATTCATGTGCTACAGAATGGATGTAGTGTTAGCAGACATGGAAATAGCATTAAACTCCTTGTACATCTCTATCAGAGCTCTTGGGTGGCCAAGTACATGGTCAGTGAGCAGTAATATTTTGAAAGAAATCTTTTTTTAATGAGCTTTAGGTCTTTTAAAAAAAGACCTAGAGTTAATAGCTTTAACTCCTCAGTAAACTATCCTGTAAACAAATATACTGTCACCCAGGCTTTGTTCTCCCATTTCCAGAGCACAGACAGAGCAGATTTAAAAGAGTTAAGGGCCCTAAGATTTTTCAAAATGGTCAATGAGCATTGACTTCAAGTCAACAACCCCATTAGCCCCTAACAAGAGACTCAGCTTCAAAAGACAGCTTTTGAAGCTTTGAAGCTATGCAGTGACTTCTTTCTAGCTATGCAAGTCCTAGACAGCATCTTCCAATAGAAGACTGTTTGTCTTCATTGAAAATCTGTTGTTTAGTGTAGCCACCTTCATCAGTTATCTTACCTAGAAGTGGATAACTTGCTGCTTCACTTTGTACTTTCATGTTATGGAGGTGGCTTATTTCCTTAAACCTCAGGAACCAACCTCTGCTATCTTCAAGCTCTTTTGCTGCAACTTCCTCACCTCTCTCAGTGTTCATAGAATTGAAGTGAATTAAGACCTCGCCATGGATTCGTCTTTGGTTTAAGGAAATGTGGTGGTTAGTTTGATCATCAATCCCAGACCACTCAGACTTTCTTCCTGTCAGTAATAAGGCTGTTTTGCTTTCTTATCATTCATGTCTTCACTGGAATAGCACTTTGAATTTCCTTCAAGAACTTTTCCTTTACATTCACAACTTGGCTAACTGGCCCAGCTTTCAGCCTGTCCTGGCTTTTGACGTGCTTACCTCACTGTGCTTAATCATTTCTAGCTTTTAATTTAAAATGAGAGATAATGTGATTTTTCCTTTCACTTGAACAGTTAGAGGCCATTGTGGGATTATTAATTGGCTTAATTTCAATATTGTTGTGTCTCAAGGAACAGAGAGGCCTAAGGAGAGGGAAAGAGGCAGGGAACAGGCAGTTAGTGGAGCAATCAGAACACACACAACATTTACCTATTAAGTTCTCTGATATTGGCATGGTTTATAGTGCCCCAAAACAATTACATTAGTAACATTAATCACCATAATAGATATAATAATGAGAAGGTTTGAAATATTGTGAGAATTATCAAAATATGACACAAACATGAAGTGAGCACAATCTGTTAGAAAAATGACATCGATATAGTTGCTCAATGCAGGCTTGCCACAAACCTTTAGTTTGTAAGACAACAACAAAATTCAATGTCTGTGAGGTCTAATCAAGTGAAACACAATAAAAAGAGTTATACCTGTACATTTCCACCCAAATGCACAAACCAGTTTAAGATAGTCATTCTCTCACTTGTCTCTTTTATAGCATTTATAAATATAGCACGTATGGTAATTATTTTCATGTTTGTCCCTACCTATGCAGTATCACTAAGCAATGATTTCCCTTGGATCTAAGAATGAGACAAAATGTCTATTCATTTTTATATGCACTGCAAGTTGCCCAGAAGTGATAGAAACGATGTCTTTGTTTATTGAATGCTTACTATGTCTCAATACTGTTCTAGGTGATTTATATATTCTTTGTTAAATCACTTTTGCTTTACAAAAGGCTTTAATGTTATTTCTTTTATTAATCATTTTACTAATGGGGAAACTCTGCTAATTTACTTGCCTAAAGATATACAGTTAATTAAGTATCAGGGCTAGATTTGGAGCTTGGACAATTTACTTATTTACTTTCTTTTTTTTTTGAGACGAAGTCTCCCTCTGTCACCAGGCGGGAGTGCAGTGGTGCAATCACGGTTCACTACAACCTCCGCCTCCCTGGTTCAAGTGATTCTTCCGCCTCAGGCTCCTGAGTGGCTGGGACTACATGCGCGCACCACCACACTGGGCGAATTTTTCTATGTTTTTAGTAGAGATGGGGTTTCACCATGTTGGCCAGGATGGTCTCGATCTCTTGACCTTGTGATCTGCGCACCTCGGCCTCCCAAAGTGCTGGGATTACAGGCATGAGCCACTATGCCGGCGGAACAATTTACTTTCATTGCAGAACTGCTCATAACCATGTGGTAGTGTTCTCAATCTGGGTTGATTTGACCAGGGGACATTTTGCAATGTCTAGAAACAATTTTGGTTGGCTCTACTCAGGGGTTGGAGGGATTCTAGCATCTGGCAGTCTAGGTAGATCCACGTATGCTGCTAAACGTCCTACAATACACAGCACAGACTCTTTAACAAAGAATGATCCCATTTAAAATGTAAATAGTGCTGAGGTTGAGAAACTTGGCGCTAAGGTAGTGCCTCAAGTAGGTGTCAGTGTTAACAGTACTTCTCAAACTGTGGTGAAAGACCAGTTTTGCTTTTTATTTCTAATAAGTCATAACTGATACTTGTGTAAAATGCAATTAAAAATGAATTATTAGTCAAACTCCCTCCTGGCGTAATGCCAGGAGAGAACTCTGATGTAAACAATGGGTATTGAGTAATACGATGTGTCAACAATTACAGCAAATGCACCACTTTGGTGTGTGATGTTGATAGTTGGTGTGTGATGTTGATAGTAGAGATTGTAGGGGGTGAGGGAGGGCAGGGATTATATAAGAACTTTGTTTGTTTTGCTCAATTTTATGTAAATCTAAAACTGTTCTAAAAAGGTTTATTTTTAAAAAAAAATACTAATTAGTAGAAAAATGATGTGGCAAAGACAAGACTAATTATTTTATATTTAGGTTCAATGTGCATAAAGTCACTCTGCCAAATTGCTATAAAAGTTTTTAAATGATTACCTTCAGTTTCCACATTTGAAAGGATTATGGCAAACAGTTTGAATGAGATTTGGAGTAGCACTAAATTACATGTTATTTAATAAAGAATATCAAGAAGAAAATGATTAATGGAATCAAATAATAAATAAATGCCAAATGAGACTGACCATAAAAGCCTATAGACTTAGAAATGAGGTAGAATAGTTAAGAAGACTTTGACAAGGAGGTGCCTCATGATCTGAGAGGGTGGGCAGAGACAGGACAGAGCTGCTCAGGTAGAAGGTATAGTATATGTTTGGGAGGTAGAATTACCCAAAGTGTGTTTAGGAAATCATCAAATCTAGCTAGAGAGGGAGATTTGACTATGGAGTAGTAGGAGATAAGTATGAAAAGGTAGGCAGAGTTAGGTTGTTAAGGACTGAAAATGGCATGGTAAAGAGTTTGAATGTGACACAGAAGGTATTGGGGTAAATTTTTTACTCACTTAACTTGTTCCAAAATTTGGGATTGGGAGGAACTAGGCAGGGCCTGCCCATGTCTTGTCCACGCAGTGTGGGCTGCAGCATATTGACTTAGGTGCATGTACCAGACTGGCAAGTTGGTGCTGGCTGTTGGCTGGGAGCTCAGCTAAGACTTGCCTAGTGTTTCAGTTCCTCTCCATACTGGCCTTCCTCATATGGTGGTGGCTGGGTTATAAGAGCCAGCGTTGGCCGGGTGTGGTGGCTCATGCCTGTAATCCTAGCACTTTGGAAGGCCAAGGCGGGCAAATCACTTGAGGTCAGGAGTTCAACATTGGCCTGGCCAACAAAGTGAAACTCCATCTCTACAAGAACACAAAATCCTGTAATCCCAGCTACTTGGGAGGCTGAGGCAGGAGAATCTCTTGAACCTGGGAGGCGGAGGTTGCAGTGAGCCGAGACTCTGCCACTGCGCTCCAGCTCAGGCAACAGTGCAAAACTCCATTGCAAACAAAGAAAAAAAAAGGAAAAAAAGGAGCAAGCGTTTCCAAGCAAGAGGAAGTCAAAGTTGCCAGTCTCTTCATGTCTAAGCCAATAAACTAGAACAGAATCACTTTTACTATTTTTCTGTTGCTCAAACAGCTGCAGAGTTTGCCAAGATTTAGGACAAGGAAAAATAGACCTTACTTCTTATTAACAACCGTGAGAAGGAATGTGTACCATTTTTTTTATTGTTGTTTTTTGGGTTTTTTTTATATTATTTATTTATTTATTTTTTTAGAGACAGGGTTTCACCGTGTTGGTCAGGCTGGTCTTGAACTCCTGACCTCGTGATCCACCCGCCTCAGCCTCCAAAGTGCTGGGATTACAAGCGTGAGCCACCGCACCCGGCCATGTGTACCATTTTTAATCTAAAATCTCAGCTATCCCTTGCCGCCTCACCTGGGTTCTTTTATTCGGTGAACAACCGTTCTAGGAGAGACCTACAAGTGAAATTCTGTCATGCGTTTTTTAAGTAGGGGAAGTATGAGGGTGTAGATGTCAAGTCGAAGGAATTAGGCATTTTAGAAATTGAACACAAGATAGAGAATGAGTGTATGGTAAGGATCACATTGTTCAAGAGCAGGGTAAGGTGATATTTTGACTTCCACTGCTTTTTGTAACTGGTCTGATATGTGGTTGCTAAATGTAGTTTGTGATCTTTCTTTCCCACTTTTTTTTTTTCCAGTCTTACTGGCAGTGGGTGGAGGGGAGCTTGAAGCTTTTAAAATTTGAGAGTATAGATTTATCCAGAGTACCCTCTATGTTGTCTCTCTCTAAATCTGCACATATATTTAAACTGTATCAGTATGGTAATTCTGACTGTTTAGAGAAGGAATGATGAATAATGTATCTGTATATCTAGCTATGGCTAATATGTGTATAAATATTTATGTGGGCATATATATATTTTTAGGCATATATAGCTAATATGTGCATATACATATTTCCTTGTATACTGTACCTAACTTCCAGCTGTTTCTTATGGTCTAATGCAAGAATAAGCATCTCATTCCTCTGTTCCTCTTATCAGAAATGGATTTGGTAATAAAAGAGGGAAAATGAGTTACTCTAAATTTTATCAACATCCCCGTTTCCAATCCCATATCTGTTTTGTAATTTGTGGGAGGGCGGTGTAATCAGTACATTTATTTCTGTACTCTTAGTAAAATGCACATAGCCCAGATAAGATTGCAGTTTACATTCTTAGTACTGTCAGACTAACACATGAATTTCCGCAAAATAGATTGACAATATAATCCTAAAAAGTGTCTCCTTCCATTTTTGGCAAAAATTGAGTAATGGTAAATTTATTACTTAAAGTAACAAGACCTAGGTTTTACTCCTTGAAGTGATATTATCTGCGACCACTTGATATTTCTGTTTCCTTGGATTTAAACATGGAAATGATGTTATCATACGATAGAGTTTAAAATAAAAAGTGCAAAAACATTTTTAAATTATTTTCTAAAATCCATGCATATGGAAGTTAATTTCTAGGAATGAAATTGAATTAGATATTCTTACTCTGACAAGAGTCAAAATTATTTGTTTTAAAATATGTTTGTTTAAAAGCATACAATCCTATGCTTAAATCCCAAACTTTCATTACAATTTTCTTTTTAAAAAAAGAGAATTTAGAACCTGTATAGGGAAGATTTTTAAACAAAACATTGTGCAAGGCTTTAGCTTTTTTTGTATTCTTTTCATCTTTACAGGTTTTTTTGTTTGTTTGTTTGTTTTTAAGCACTGTATTTAGATCAAGATGTCTGGTAAAGCAGGTGCTTCCAAGAAAAACTCTCAACAGTTAAAAAGAAATCCAAAGAGAAAAAAGGATAATGAGGAAGTGGTGTTGTCAGAGAAAAAGGTAATGAAAATATTAAGTTTCTCATTTAGAACTCTTCGACTGGGGCCAGGCACTGTGGCTCATGCTTGTAATCTGAGCAATTTGGGAGGCTAAGGTGGGCTGATCACTTGAGGCCAGGAGTTCCAGACCAGCCTGGCTAACATGGTAAAACCCCACCTCAACTAAAAATACAAAAATTAGCTAGGTGTGATGATGTGCACCTGTAGTCCCAGCTACTCGGAGGCTGAGTCATGAGATTTATTTGAACCCAGGAAGCAGAAGTTGCAGTGAGCCAAGATTCTGCCACTGCAATCCAGCCTGGGCAACAGAGTGAGACTCTGTCTCAAAAAAAAAAAAAAAAAAAGAAAAAGAAAAACTCTTCAGTTGGAAATATTATCTACTCTATGAAAACAGGGTCAGTGGTACTACAAATTATAGCAGTTCATATCATTGTATAAGAGCTTTTGCAACATGATTTGCAAAGTTCTAATAAATAATTGTTTACTGCAATTTCTAAAAATAAAATAAAAACAGTGGTTTACAGCAATTTCTAAAAATAACCATTGACCATAGAATTCTTTGAGGAAGAGAGGGTTTATAGGGCAGTGCTAAGGTATTTAATGGGAAGATTAGAAATGAAGTTTACAAATTCTTACAGCAATTAAATGTTAAAAGGTGAGAGAATTTGTCATTTGGTGGAGATTTTTATTAACACAGAGGACAAATAGTTTGGGAGGAATTAGCTTCTTTCTGCCACAATTTTGACCCTCTCTTTTAAAAGAATTAATGGATTAATCAAAAAAATTTTCATGTTTTAGTCTACTCACTAGGCAATGCCTATAATGTTTTGGAGGTAAAGTATGTAACATTATTTCATAGGCAAAGTGAGCAATGATTCATTTAAAACATTCTTTGACACTGTATAAAATTCTGTTATTATCAGCATTGTCAAGAATTGCTTTAGTATATCCTCTGCCTGTGATAAACATACACCATCTTTCTGTAGAAGTAGCAACATACATTTTTTTCCATCTGCTAGAAATTGTATGAATGCTCTGACATATATAACAAATTATTGTAAAAACAGTTTCTTTTTATCTGATGTTTAATTCTGTTTTATGTTTATGCATGTGTTTTTCCCTCTAGATTAGAAACACAGTGAAAAGAAATAAAAATCATCTGAAAGATCTGCCTTCTGAAGGTATTTCTTTTCTATTGCCTTGTTTAACTTGCTTCTTTATCAAGCTATCTATATTCTTGAAAAAAATTTCAGCATCTTGTTTATGAATTCTGCAAAAGATAGTAATAGCTACATTAGCATTTTTGTAAGAATACATAGTAGTGGTTAGTCAGTTATTTTGGTCAACTGAAATTTTAGTTAGCACCTCTGGCAAAATACTGTGCAGGCTTCAATGCCACTGAGTTGATGGGAACTAGCGAAATTCAGGCCCACAGCCTGAATTATTACTGATCTATTTTATAAAGACAAATCCACTGCTTGTTCTTCAAGACAAATATGCCTTCTGTTCTATACGATTAGTTTGGAACCATTATTATAAATTTGTTTTGAGTAAACTAGTTTGGAGTAGTTGTCTTTGGTTAAACGTTAGTGTTTGTTGGAAAGATTCTCTATGTCTCCTCAGCCGGCACTAAGTTTGGTCCTCTGGTTTTATACTCCCATAGCATACAGTACTTTTTTTTCCTTTTGTATGCTTTGCGCACCTATAATTTGTTCAATATCCCTTCTCTCCAATACTGATTTTCATGAGATCCAATACTATTTCTTCTTTTTTTAATCCCTAATAAGGAGAACAGTACCAACAGTATAGTCGACACTATGTATTTGTGGTTTGATTAATCTGTTTTGTTCCAGTTGCCATCCAACATTTGGAAAATAGTTTTCTGGTCCTTTCAATGAAATTTTTAAAGATTTTAGGCCATTTCTGAGAATGAAACTTTTCGTAATTAGGCTTGATTCTTCATTTAAAATTGTTTCTATTATCACTTGGTAGTATTTCCGTTAACTTATCAATAGAAAGCATATTCATATTCAACACCTGGGATATTATAGCTGTGTGATAAAAAGTAAATTAAACAGTTTATACAGCTTTATAATATTTTGTTCTCATAATTTCATAAGCTTTTTTAGATTAAAAAATTCAGTTTTTAAGCAAAAACATGTAAAACATCTTGATTAATCAGAGCCTGTTCTATTACCAATAACAGGACAAACAAAGCACACTAACCTAAAACAGGTAAAGATAGCATCCAGCAAGAGAAAAACTTGGCAACCTCTTTCAAAGAGTAGCAGAGACCATTTGCAAACTATGATGGAATCAGTAATAATGTAAGTATAACATTTTTCCATTTCATTGTTTTAGTTCCCAGTTAGGTGTTTCCTATGGATATTATCCTTTTAAATATTGCTATTTTAAGGTAACAGAGTACATTTCTGTTTTAGAAGAAGATATAATTAATGTGGTGGCATTTGCCTTCAGCAGAAAAGTCTTTGTTAATTTTAGAAACTTGGAATTCCATTGGTGAAATAAAAGCAAGAGTTTGTGGCGTGACTTGCTATCAGTAAAATTTTAACTTATGTCAATAGGGATTCTTTAGGAAAAAGATGAGTTCAAGTGACACTTTATATAGAAGCTACCACACTGGAAGGGATACAAAGAAAATAAGACAGAACTCTGCCATTGTGGAGCTAAAGTCTGTCAGAAGAGCCAGGCATATAAACTATTACAGTACAGTGTAGCAAAATATATATATAAGTAGATTTTTTTATTGTACCTCTTTTTAAAGTGTCTTTAACATGAAAGGAAAAGTGATTGATTCTGTCTGGCTAGTGGGGAGGCGCACTTGAGAGAAATCAGAGAGAAAAGGAGACAGAGCATGTTTATTTGTGTTTCAGACTACTATTTATTCCACCTTTTCTTTTCTAGAACAATTTTGAGTAAGAGTATTAAAGAAAAAGAAGAAATACAATACCATCTCAACGTCCTAAAGACAAGGTAATACTGTAGCATAATTAAAATGATTAAAACATAATTTTTAAAAACCTGACTTCTTCCTGTGTTGCCAAACAGACACTTGTGGAAGGCAAGATTTTTGTGTGTTTGTTGTTGTTGTTGTTGTTGTTGTTGTTTTGAGATGGAGTCTCTCACTGTCACCCAGGCTAGAGTGCAGTGGTGTTATCTTGGCTTACTACAACCTCAGCTTCCTGGGTTCAAGCAATTCTCCTTCCTCAGCCTCCAGAGTAGCTGAGGTTATAGGTGCCCACCACCATGCTCAGCTAATCCTTTGTATTTTTAGTAGAGTTAGGGTTTCACTATGTTGATCAGGCTGGTCTTGAACTCCTCACCTTGTGATCCACCCACCTCAGCCTCCCAAAGTGCTGAGATTACAGGCATGAGCCACTGTGCCCGGCCCATTTTTTTTGTTTGTTTGTTTTTTGTTTTTAAAGAAGGTGAACAGCTTAGAAATATGTATTCTTTTCTAAACTGCTGCTGCACATGTTTCTCAAATAAGTTTCAGGGAACTTAACAACAACCACAACAAAACCTGAAAATCAAAAAATTCTGTCTCCACAGTTCAATCTTCTGTATCAGAATTTGAGAACAATTTTGTCCACTTGAACTCCCTTCAACTTCATTTTTAATAATCTGAAGTTAATAGTTCACCACTCTTATCTGATATTTATCCTATTGCAGTGTTTTTCCTTCATTTCATATTGTCAAATTTGTACTTTGTATAAATTTCTAAGATATTATTGTTCTTCACCTTATGGTAAATCACCCATGGAACTTTCTTTTCAAGAGTTCTTAAAAGGCATACAACTGCCCGCAATTTTTAATAATTACTTTTCTGCAGTATTTACATAACTTTTTCTTTTCATAAGAAAATGTTCTGCTTCTCAGTTTCAAGTTTCCCTAGAAATGTTTATGACCTATTTTAGGGAATTCCTTTGAGCACAAATTCTGTTTACTTTTTCTTTAAATATAATTTTCAACCCAAAGTAGCCAAGTAGAAAGAGTGAATGGGATGGATTGGGTGGGATGAGAGTTTGTTGAGAAAGGTTGAACAGATTAAACAAAGACTGCTAAAAGCAGGCTTGAAATTGCTTAAAGGTTCAGCAGCCTATGATTAAAGAAGGAGGAGGATATTTAAAAGATAATAAATGAGCAAATATAAGTTTAATGAAAATGTAGCTATTTAGGATTTTTTTAATATAGGACAAATACTGTTTAGTGTGTGAATGAAAATATTACATTACATAATAGTTGTTCATAGTGATAACCTTGGTTCATTGGAAAAATTATATTCAACAAATAGATAGTCTCTTCATCATGTAGCAGCTATGGAGAGATATATTTCAAGGCCTATTTCCTCCTTATTTTTACTTTCACAACTTGCTTTCACAAAGCAAGTCACAAAGTAATCATACCCAACATACAGTTATTTCTACAGATACAGCAAAGTACAGCATTAGCAAACTGATCCTTATTGGAAGTCTGAATACATTCTTCTGTAGCAGTGTTTCTCCAAGTATATTTGAAACGCTTGTTCTCACAGATACTCTATGGATAAAAGTAACCTGTGGTGAATTATATTTGGGTACATTAGCTTTTAAGCATCCCTGCACTAAATAAATCTGTTTCATTTTCTTTAACCTAGCATCTCCCAAGTTGATATTTCTGGGAACTCATTTTCATATATTAGTCTTATCTCTGCTTTTGACTAAATGTTGGCTTCATTATTTTCTTTTTTTTTAGTTTTCAGTTGTTCTTACTAGATTACAACTATAGTCATATATAGCTTCTTATATATATCATTTTAGCCTTGTGAAGAAAGAGGAAAAAGAAAACTCTTATCCTCTTACCTTCAGATAGAAAATTCTAGGAAATGGTTTCTGATTGGCCAAACTTAGATGATATACACCTATCCTTGGTGTGATTTTGTGACAAGAGCTACCATGGGTATGATTGATATAAACTTGATTATATACCTAGCCCCATGATTACACAGACAGGTTTGCTAGGCAAATAAAACTGCTGCCACTGTAATTCTAAAGGAACATACTTTGGGAAAGTCTGTCCTATAGAAACAGTGTTATAAGTGGTGATTAAATGTTGCTGATATAGTAGGATATATTCAAGGCATGGTTTTAGTTTCTAAGAGTTAGTGAGACTCCTGGAAATCTAACGGCCATTTAGAACATTTGGAGTAGTGAATGACACTTCCACATAATTGATTTAATAAACATATAGAAGAAACTTCATAAATAAAAGATTTTAGTTAAGAAAATAAAAAACTTACCCCTCTTAGGGTAAGTTTTTAAATGCCTAATGATATTTCTGAACAACTAGAGGTTGTCTTAACAGTTTAATGAGAGTTATGATTTGTGGGGTTTTGCTGCCTACTTTTTTCTTTACAAACATAAAAATTTTATTTGCAAACTAAGCATTTAACAAAGGTCCTTATCAAGACTCTATAAGGAACTTAAATTAGCAAGCAAAAAACCAACAATCCTATTAGAATGTGGGCAAAAGACATGACCAGACACTTTTCAAAAGAAAACATATATGTGGCCAACAAACATGAAAAAATGCTCTCAACATCACTAATTACTAGAGAAATGCAAATGAAAACCGCAATGAAATACCATCTTACAGCACTTAGAATGGCTGTTACTAAAAAGTCAAAAAGTAACAGATACTAGTGAGGTTGCTGAGAAAAAGGAATGCTTATACACTGCTAGTGGAAATGTAAATTAGTTCAACCATTGTGGAAAGCAGTTTGGCAGATTCACAAAGAACTTAAAACAGAGCTATCATCCAACCCAGCAATCCCATTATGGGGTATATACCTGAAGGAATATAAATCGTTCTACGATAAAGACATATTCACACTTATGTTCACCACAGAACTATTCACAATTGCAAAGACATGGAATCAGCTGGAATACTATGCAGCCATAAAAGAACGAGATCATGTCCTTTGCAGCAACATGGTTGGAGCTAGAGGTCGTTATCCTAAGCAAACTAATACAGAAACAGAAAACCACATAGGGCATGTTCTCACAAGTGCGAGCTAAACATTGAGTACATATGGACACAAAGAAGGGAACAACAGATACCAGGGCCTACTTGAGGGAGGAGAGTGAGGGTTGAGGAAGTACATGTCAGGTACTATGCTTATTATCTGGGTGAAGAAATAACCTGTACACCAAAGCCCCACATTTGCCTACATAACAAACCTGCATATGTACTCCTGAACCTAAAATAAAAGATTTTTTTTCAATTAAGATTTTAACAGGATCCCAAATGTAGGCTAGTGGGTTCCCCTATTGTTCAGATTTCTTCAAATGTTAAGTAGTAGAACTTTTTAGAACCCAGAGATGCTGGTATTATAAAAGGAATCAAATTTAGCTTTTCCTCATAAAATTCAAGAATCAAATCTGGGAAGGCTATTTTGCAGTCTGCCAGATGTGATGACAGAATAGATGTTTCTACTGGTGATCAAATCAACTCAAATTTGTAAAAGAATTTTTTAACTTTAATGTTAAATATTCATGTTTATAGTACTTTTGAGCAATGCACTTTAATCTTAGTGTTTTATTTGCCTTAAACTCTATAGAACTCAGTTTTCTTTGAAATCATTAGAATAACTCATGTAAATCTTCTCTATTTTTGATCACATTCTCTAAAATAATTGAGATTTGGAGTCCAGGGTCATAGTTAAGACTTCTAGACTAGTGTTCTGTCCCTTAACCAACAATTCACAATAAATAATAGACTCATGTCCTGTAATAGTTTAGAAAACATCTGTATGATACAAGGAAATTTTGGTTTTAAAATGTATATAAATTGTCAAATGTGTAAAATGGAAAACTTTCTTTTAGTAAAGTAGCTTCAGTATCCCTTCATTTGCGGTAAATCTTTTTTTTTTTTTTTTTTTAGACAGAGTCCCACTCTGTCACCAGGCGCCAGTGGCACGACCTCGGCTCACTGCAACCTCCGCCTCCCGGGTTCAAGCAATTCTCCTGCCTCAGCCTCCTGAGTAGCTGGGACTACAGGCGTGTGCCACCATGCCCAGCTAATTTTTTGTAGTTTTAGTAGAGACGGGGTTTCACCGTGTTGACCAGGATGGTCTCGATCTGTTGACCTCGTGATCCACCCGCCTCGGCCTCCCAAAGTGCTGGGATTACAGGCCTGAACCACCGCACCCAGCCTTCAGTAGACCTTAATAAATTGAAAGGCTAAATGATTTGTCAGGGCTTTTTGAAGGGGAGACTTACTGGCACAGTTACCCAGTGGTAATAAAAGAATATTGTACCCTTAAGAATATGAGGACAAGAAAAAATGAGGACTGTTTTAAAATAATAATAATACTCAAAAATGAACAAAATAAATACGTTTTTATTTTATTCTTAAGATTGCTACAACTGTGTGAAACTCTGAAAGTTCCTCCCAAAAAGACAGAAGATTTAGCTAATGTGTCAAGTCTGCTGAATGTGGAAAGGGCACGAGACAAAGCTAATGAAGAAAGTCTGGCATTACTGCAGGTATGAAATTTGAACAGGGAATCCATAATTAGAGAGTTAGGGAAAGGAGAAAAGACCAAAGTTTTTTAAGTTATGATGATGTTCTTCCAGTTGTAACTACTAGATCTTGAAACAGGTTTTTCATTAAATTTTTTTTTCATTAAAGCAAAAATTTGTCTGAACTTAGCACCTCCAAAGTCAAAGTATTTCTAACATATTTGCAGATAAGTAGCAGTCCTATTTTTTTTTATCAGACTTTAACTGAACTATCTTAGTGTTTTTAATTATCAATTTGTAGGAACTTATTACCAAATACCGTGAAATTTTAAAACATGTAAGTTTTTCTAACCTGTATATGGCAAGAAAACACAATTATCATTATAGTTAATATGCACTGATGACTTCCTATACCCCAGACACTGTTCTAAGCACTTTATAGTTATATCCCTTAATCGTCACAATAAATCATAATTTAGAGTATGACCTAAAGTATTCTCATTTTACAAACATGATAAAAAGACATACTGCTATTTCTAACTGAACCTTAGACAAATTGCTTAAAGTTGAGGTGCTAACTTTGTCATTCTGATGTTGGTGCACGATTCTTGATCACTGAGCTGTATGGCATTCTGTGGAAGATAGTGGGAGATAACCTTATCTATCATGATTAACTTCTAGCTTTTAATTAATGGATATCTGAACAACTAAGAAACAGCAACCTTAAGGAGCTTATTAGATAATTATAAAAACTAAAACACGTCAGACCCCACATATCCCTTAGACATTTTGAAGTAGTTTGTAGATGTAGTGCATAGATTTTAGTTGCAATTTAGTAAGTACAAGGTGGTAGTAGTTTCTGCAAGGAACATATTCCCAATAATTTGTAATAATTCAAAAGTAACAAATAATTCATTCCCATTTTTCCATAAGATTGAGAATAAAGTTGAAGGAACAGTTTTCTGAGCATAAATCTATATGTATTTTTAATTAATAGGGTGGGTATTTTTTGGTGGCTGACTCACTTTATTCAAAGCGTGATATTATATTTTATTTCCATCCCAAAGTTCCTACTTTTTTAGGGCATGTTTTCAATATTGGCATTAGCTTCATCACCTAAACACTTAGATGGCCTTTATTTAGGTTTTTTTAAAAGGTTTGAAAGCATGATAATGGAGAATTTTAACACTTACTATTTATGCACATCAGTTAAGAGTGTTCTGAAGTCATAATGGTAGTGTGATTTTTATGATGCTGGGAAGCATTTCTGTTCTCCAGCTGAAATTTGACCTCCATAGGACATAAGCATAATTATAGTCTGTGGTTTGCTTGTTAGTCACTCAGAAGAAGCACCACTGGCATTTGGAGCAGGAAAGTTCTTCATTGGCATAAGAGGATCTTTGGATTAGCAGTTTGTAAACTCTATCTGTAACCATTAGTTTTCTCCTCTGTACCTCAGAGCCATTGCTTTTTCTCACTGCAGCCTAGAGTTATTGCTGGTGATGATTTTCCAAAACCTGTAATAGTAAAAGAAATTTTATTTATTTAACATTTTCATTGTGCTCTCACTCAGTAATAGTGCCAGGGAAACAACAATGGTAAACAGCATCTTGGAGATTCTGGGAAGACGGCATTAGAGCAGCTGAAGCATAATTTTTTAGACTCCCTGATCTTATCATAAAAATGGATCCATAGGATTTCAGAATAAGAGTTAGTATAAGAAAATATGACAATAAAGACCAAAAATAACATTCCTGCATACACCAAAAGCATGCCAAAAAGACCTGCGCCTAGAACAGCTGAACATTAACTTAATTTCTCAAGTGACCTGAAATAAATTCAGAAAAAATGATAGAAAATATAAGGGAAACATTATAAATCAGAATTAGAAATACTGATAAATGAAAGTACAGAATTCAGGAATGAATGAGACATAAAAGAAAAACTTTCAGGTATGTAGATTTAGTTGCAATTTAGTAAGTACAAGGTGGTAGTAGTTTCTGCAAGGAAACTACTAAGTTAGAAGAAACACTAAAGCAAATAAACACAACAGATAAAAATAGAAGACAACATAAGCAGAAAATTTTCAGAATCATAAAAACATTTGTAAAAGGAATTGAGAAAAAAAATCCTCAAAGAAGATACAGTATGAATATGGTAGTAATACCCAAAGATAACCAAAGGGATGAAACAAAATAAATTTTATAATAAGAAATTTTAACCCTCTCTATATTTAACCCTTTTACTCATTCAGTGCTGTTATACATTCCCTTTGTAGTGGGTTGAATCTAGGAAAAGGGTCTTGTCAGATAAATTAAGGATCTCAAGATGAAATCATCCTGGATTGTCATGGGTAGGTCCTAAATCCAATGACAAGTGTTCTTATAAATGACAAGAGAAGGCACCAAGACAAAGAAAAAGCCATAGGAAGGCAAAGGCAGAAACTAGAGCAATGCAGCTACAAGGAATGCTGACAGCTATCAAAAGCTAAAAAAGATAAGAAAGCATTCCCCTCTCTTGTCTTCAGAGGGATTGTAGCCCTGCCAACAATCTCGATTTTGAACTTCTGTCCTCCAGAACCATGACAGAATGAGTTTCTGTTGTTTTAAGCCAAGTAAGTGGTACAGCAGCCACAGGAAACTAATATATGTGGTTTGCTTTATATTTATATTGGACAGCACTCTGTTAACTCCAACAACCAATTCACAGAAAATACAGGGCTGAGGAACACATTAAAATTCATTCAACAGGGAATGCAGTTCACAAAATTTAGCCCATAGGAAATTCCCCAGAGCAAACTATCTAATCTCCACAAATAAATTATAAGGAACCAAAAAAATTGAAATGGAAGCCTCCTAAAGACAAAAAGAGACTTAGACATATCAACCTGACAGTTTGGAACCTGATTAAAACAAAATAGAAAAACTCCAATTTATAAGAAAATTGAAAATGTGAACACTAACCATATGCTTCATATTAAGAAATTTATTGGGATTTTTAAAAGTGTAGTAATGATACTACCGTCTTATATGTCTTTAAATCCATTAGAGCTATATACTGAAATATTTATAGATAAAAGGATTTCTAGGATTTGAAATAGTGCAAGGGAAGCAGAGGTGGATGGAGTTAAAGGTATAACAAGATGGCCACAGGCCAGGCACAGTGGCTCACACCTGTAATCCCAGCACTGTGGAAGGCCGAGGCATATGGATAAACGAAGGTCAGGAGTTCAAGACCAGGTTGGCCAATATGATGAAATCGTGTCTCTGCTACTACTACTACTACTAATAATAATAATAATAATAATAATAATAAAATTAGCTGGGTGTGGTGGCAGGTGCCTGTAGTCCCAGCTACTGGGGAGGTTGAGGCAGGAGAATCACTTGAACCCAGGAGGCAGAGGTTGCAATGAGCCAAGATCGTGCCATTGCACTCTATCCTGGACAACAGGAGTAAAACTCATCTCAGAAAAAAAAGATGGCCATGAGTTGATCATTGAAACTGGCCGATATGTATATGGATGTTCATGAGAACATTCTCTCTTACTATATATGTTTGAAATTTACTATAATAAAAAATTTAAAAAGTCTGTTCCTCCATGGCGTTTAGATTCAAGTGAATAGAGCTCACAGTCCCAAAATCTTAGGCATTCAAGGATCAACACATTCTTAGGAAGAGGCCAGACAATAAACATTTTAGCCTTTTTGGACCACATATGGTTAACTATTTTGCTGCATATACTTTTGGTTTGTTGAGGTTTTGACCAATCTTTTAAAAATGTAAAAACAACTCAGTTCTTGAACTGTACAAAAATATCCCATGGACAATTGCTGACCCCTGCAGCTACGCTTTTATTAAAAAAAAAAAAAAAAAAAAAAAAAAAAATGTCATTTAGAAGCCAAAATGTATTTCTTGAGGACGACTACTCTAGTTGCCAGCAACAGTTCTGCATCCAGTATTTGGAGAACGACATAGATATAGTATCAATCTTATTGCTGAACAAGATTTCAGAGTTACTTCTGTATATTTCCTGTGTGGCTTATTTATTTGTTCCCCAAAGCCAACAGGCAGTGTTATCATTGACTGTTGCTAGGACTGTACTTGAAAGCAGTGCCGTACTTAATACCTTTTAGAAGCCTAGAAGCTTGCCAATTTTAATTTTATACTTGGCCTGCAAACAACACATCCTTGATATGTTGTTCCCATACTTGTTTTATTCATTTCTCATTTTCTTTGCATCTTCCCCTATAAATTATATATTCCTTTAATGTGAGAAAGTGTTTTTCATTTTTTTATTATTTTCCCTGCTCTAATACCCAACATTACTTCCTTTTGAAAATTAAAATAGCAGACTCTCAAATGTTCCTAAATAAATGAAAACAATTCAGAATTCTCCGTTACATGAAGTTTTATTCTGCTTAGGGAAGGTTGCTGTATTTGCTGTCATCAGTTCTGAGCTCTGCTAGATTTACACTTGGATCTTCCAGTATCTCTGACACTAGCAGCATCGGTAGGTTTTGAGGAAGTTTTCATGTATATCCTTGGTCCAGGAAAATTAGATTTCCTTATAATGCATTAATATCTTGACAAACCAACTTTCCAAGAAGTCTGTTTTTCGAAAGAAACAAAAGTAAATTCACCAGTTGCTTCTAAAAATGTTTTAACATACAAGGTATTTTTCAAAATGTGTATGTATAACAATGTCTGTTAGGATTTAATATTATAATGTGTTTAACTTAAAATGTTTATTTCCTCTTTCTGACTCAGGAAGAAATAGATAAAATGGTAGAGACTACAGAGTTAATGACTGGGAATATTCAGAGGCTAAAGAACAAAATTGAAATTCTGGCAAGTGAAGTGGAAGAAGAAGAGGAGAAGATAAAACAGGTAATTATTTTAAAATGTATTGTTGGAATTTGGATATAATTTTTAGTGGTTACATTCTGCCAGGACAATTTTTGAGTATACTATGCTGAGAGAAATCAGCTTTTTGAAATAATCTGTGGCTTTCTTCTACTTTAGATGCATCAAATAAATAATAGTGGAGTCCTCTCTCTTCCAGAACTTTCTCAGAAAACTCTCAAAGCACCCACACTTCAGGTAAGTATCTATTTACCATATTGATTACAGGTATACTTTGGAGATTTTGCAAGTTTGGATCCAGATCGCAGCAAAATAGCAAATAACTGCAATAACACAAGTCACACAAATATTTTGAATTTCCACTGCATATAAAGTTATGTTTACACTATACTGTAGTCTAGTAAGTGTGAAAAAGCATTATTTCTTTAAAAAAAAAAAAAGCAGACCGTAATTTTAAAAATGCTTTATTGCTAAAAAAAAAAAAAAAAAGTTGACGACCATCTGCACCTTCAGCATGTTGTACTCTTTTCGCTGGTGGAGGGTCTTGTCTCGAAGTTGCTGGCTGACTGATCGGCATGGTGATTACTGAAGATTGAGAAGCCTGTGGCAATTTCTTAAAATAAGAAAATGAAATTTGCCGCATCAGTTGATTCTTCCTTTCATGAATGATTTCTCTGTAGCATATGATGCTGTTTCATAGCGTTTTACCCACAGTAGAACTTACTTCAAAATTGTAGTCACTTTTCTCAAACCTTGTCATGGCTTTTATCAGCTAAGTTTATGTCGTATTCTGTATCCTTCATTGTTATTTCAACTATGTTTACAATGTCTTCATCAGGAATAGATTCCATCTCAAGAAACTACTTTCTTTGCTCATCCATTAGAAGCATCTCCTGATCCATTCACGTTTTATAATGAGATTGCAGCAATTCAGTCCCATCTTCAGGCTGCACCTCTAATTCCAGTTCTCTTGCTGTTTCTACCACAACATCAGTCACTTCCTCCACTGAAGTCTTGACCCCTCAAAGTCATCCATGAGGAGATTAAAAATTGAATCAGTTTTTTCTAAACTCCTGTTTTTGGTATTTTGACTCCTCTTATGAATCATGAATAGTCTTATTGACGTCTAGCATGATAAATGTCTTTCAAGATGTTTACAATTTATTTTGCCCAGATCCATCAAAGAAATCACTATCTAGGGCAGCTACAGCCTTACAAAATTTATTTCTTAAATAATAAGACTTGAAAGTTGAAATGACTCTTTGATCCACAAGCTGCAGAATACATGTTGTGTTAGCAAATATGAAAACATTAATCTCCTTGTGCATCTTCATCAGATCTCTTGGGTAACTGGGAACATTTTCAATGAGCAGTAATATTTTCAAAGGAATCTTTTCTGAGCAGTAGGTCTTAACAAGGGGCTTAAAATATTCAGTAAGCCATGCTTTTAACAGATGTGCTGTCATCCAGGCTTTCTTGTTCTACTTACAGAGCAGAGACAATGCAGATTTAGTAGAATTAAGGACCCTGGGATTTTCAGAATGGTCATTGAGCATTGGCTTCAACTTCAAGTCACCAGCTGCATTAGCCTCTAACAAGAGCCTAACAAAAGCTTGTCCTTTAAAGCTTTGAAGCCAGGCATTGCCTTCTCCTCTCCAACTACAAAAGTCCTAGAGATGGCATCTTCTTCCAATAGAATGCTATTTTGTTAACATTGAAAATATGTTGTTTCCTATAGCCGCCTTCATCAGTGATCTTAGCTAGCTATGTCTTCTGGGTGAGTAGCTGTAGCTTTTCTATCAGCACTTTTTGCTGCTTCACCTTGCACTTTTTATGTTATAAAAACAGCTTCTTTCCTTAAACCTTGCAAACTAACTTCTGCTAGCTTCAGGTTTTTCTTCTGCAACTTCCTCACCTCTGTCAGCCTTCACAGACTTGAAAAGAGTTAGGCCCTTGCTGTGGATTAGGATGTGGTTTAAGGGAAATGTTGTGGCTAGTTTGATCTTCCATCCAGACCACTCAGACTTTCCCCATAGCAACAATAAGGTTGTTTTGCTTTCTCATCATTCGTGTATTCACTGAAGTAGCACTTTAAATTTCCTTCAAGAACTTTTCCTTTGCATTCACAACTTGGGTGTTTGGCACAAGAGGCCTAGCTTTTGGTTTGCTTGTCTTTTGATATACCTTCCTCTCTAAACTTAGTAATTTCTAGCTTTTGGTTTAAAGGAAGAGACATGATTCTTCTTTTCACCTGAACACTTAGAGGCCATTCTAGCATTATTAACTGGCCTAATTTCAATATTGTTGTATCACTGGGAATAGGGAGGCCCAAAAAGAAGGAGAGAAACTGGGAAATAGCTGGTTGGTGGAGCAGTCAGAACACACAACAATTAACAATTCAGTTCACTATTGGATATGGTTGCAGTTGTGGCACCCCAGAACAATTACAGTAGTTCAATCAAAGAGCACTGGGCGTAGATCACCATAATAGATATCGTAATAATTTTTAAAGTTTGAAATGTTACAAGAATTACCAAAATGTGATGTAGAGGCACAAAGTGAGCATGTACTGTTGGAAAAATGCTGCTGGTAGACCTGCTTCACAAAGAGTTGCCAAAACCTTCAGTTTGTAAAAAACACAATATCTGGGAAGCACAGTAAAATGAGACATCCCTATATATCATAGACCAGTTATATACATATATATAAAAGCATTATGTCCTATTTCTTTCCTTAAACAAATGGAACCTGATACAAACTGTTTGGCAAATTACTTTTCTCATTTGACTCTACAGTTTGAACATCTTGTCAGTCACATAGATCTCACATTTTTGTTGATAGCTGTGTAACATTCTGTTGCATGGATGTCATAATATAATTTGTAATTTACTAGTGGAAATACATAATTTTTTATTGCAGATAAGAGAGGGTACACCCTTGTACATAAATCCTTACTGATTTGTGTAGTCATAATTGTAGGATACATTTCTAGAAGTAAATATTGACAGTTTGGTTTTTTTATGCATCTAACAATGGCATATAACTCCTTACAAAATAGTACTTTCTTATTTGTAGTAAACTCTAAACTGGTAATTTTTCTTCAGAGGACTCAAGTAGATATTGTAGTATAAATGTTTGTAGCATTGGAAATTCTTCATGTTTTCTCAAAAAGCAATTGAAAATTTTCCTCACGCCTGTAATCCCAGCACTTTGGGAGGCTGAGGCAGGTGGATCATCTGAGGTCAGGAGTTGGAGACCAGCCTGACCAACATGGAGAAACCCATCTCTACTGAAAACACAAAATTAGTTGGGCATGGTGGCTCATGCCTGTAATCCCAGCTATTTGGGAAGCTGAGGCAGGAGAATTGCTTGAATCTGGGAGGTGGAGGTTGCAGTGAGCTGAGAACATGCCATTGCACTCCAGCCTGGGCAACAAGAACGAATCTCGGTCTCACAAAAAAAAGAAAAATTCTTATCATCCACCAGTGGTAAGAGGAGCAGGATGGGGAGAGGGAGAGATAGATTTGAAAGAATGGCCATTAGTTGACAATTATTGAAGTTGGGTGATGGATACTTAAGATTTATTTATTATACTGTTCTCTCTGACATACATTTGAGATTTTTCATACTAAAATGTTAAAGACTATATTTAATACTATTTTTCCCACAGCAAGAGATTTTGGCACTAATTCCAAACCAGAATGCTCTTCTAAAGGACTTGGATATTCTTCATAATTCATCACAGATGAAGAGCATGTTAATATTCATTGA